TGCGCCAGGCCTGCCCTAGTTTCCCTGAATGGTGACTGTGGAGGGTGACCGTGCACGGCCAGGCCAGCAGCCAGGGAGCGAGCTGTGGGCACCTGAGCTCGCGAAGAACCTGAGGCTGCCTGGGTCTTCTCTGATCAGTGTTCTGCAGGAAGAGCTCAGGACCTGCAAGCCAGACCCAACGAACCAAGAAGCCCATCTTCCCTTGAACTATTTGCTGAGGAAAAAAATTTTTTTTGGTACTGGAGATTGAACCCAGGGCCTTTGCACTGAGCTATATCTACAGCCCTTTATTTTTTGAGATTATAACTCACTAAATTCACTAAATTGCCCAGTTGGGCTTGCAATCCTCCTGCCTCAGCCTCTCACCATGCTGGGATTACAGGCATGCACTGGCTGGGAAGTTTTTTACACTCCTCAGTTGGGTGGGCGCTAACCATTGCTTACAGGAGGGAAGGGTGGGTGACAAGACAGCCCCCTAGTGGGGAGGTGCTGGCCTGGCTGGAATGAGCATCTGCCCCCCCTGCTTGCTATGCGCAGCGCTGTGGCTTCCACGACCCCACAGTCTGGAGCCAGCCTCAGCCCAGGCCAGGCAGGGGTCTGCACAGGTCTCGGGAGCCCCAGGGGGCCCTGCAGAGCAGGGTGAAGGGCACAGCTTTCTCCCAGCCACGCTACAAGGACACAACTGCTCCCGTTTGCTTCTGCTCTGCCCTCTTCCTTTTGGGTTGATGTGAATATGAAAAATAATTTGAAATTAATATGTCCTGGGCAAACACATTCATTTTCTTGTACACTTGCAAAATCTCCTAATGAAAACACAGCGCAAAGGCCCACTTTCTCTGGGAAGCATCTATCATAGCTGAGGTGAAAGGCAGCATAAATATGTCCTTAAGTAAGAGGTACAGTCACAAAAGCACCAAGCTGGAGTAATAAACAGATTTAGAGATTATTACGATGTTCTGGGAATGAATCGCTATGGGGAGGTCGAGGGTACTTTTAATTTAATGGATTCATCATTTATGTCTGAAGTTCCTGCTCCTCCTATGAAAGCAATGTGGGAGGTTTGCACAAAGTTATAAATCATGTTGGGGTTTGGGCCTCACCTCTGGGAGGCCTGGACTATGGAGGGTTATACTAATAATCTGAGAGAAGAAGTAGCTGCCTGAAAGGGTTTCCTTTGGGCAGGCAGGTCAGGAAGACCCGTGGGAGACAAGAGCCTAGAAGACGGCGGCCCAGTCTGTGCGCGGGATCAGGGTTGTACCAGCTCTGTAGTGTGTGTCCACCAACTACACTGAAATACAGTTGGAGATGAATCTCTGGGCTGCCCCACCTCGGACTGCATATCTCATATCTCGCGCCAGGCATTTCCCAAGCATTTTATCCACGCCGAGGGTCATCAAGCCCCTAGGGCAAGAGATACTATTGTTATTCCCATTTCACGGGTGCATTTATTTACTTGTTTAAGACTCTTGGTAAGAAAGAAGCAGCCCAGCCCCGGACCTGGGCTGCAGGACTCAGCGGCTCAGGGTTCACGTCTTCAGCCTTTGTCAGAGGTGCAGCCAGCTTGGTCTGTTCTATGCCCAGGGGGAGCAGCCCAGACCCTGCTCCTGCCCACAGGGCTGGCCTGGTTCCTCTCTTGTCCTTCCCATCCCCCCACCTTGTCTTCCTTCTGACCAAGGAGAAAAGTTGGAGGAAGGGAACACAAGGCAGCACTGTCTGTGTAGCGGGGGCGCGTTTCAGCTCAGCCTCCACTCAGCAAGCCAGACAGCCTGCTGGGTCGGAGGGAGACCAAACTGGACTCCAGCAGCACAGCTGGGCTGAATGTCACTGAGGCTGCTCAAGGTCATCTTTCACGCTCTCGACTCAGGTCTGAGGTGGACGGTGACAAGGAGCATCGTGTGCAGAGGGAAGCTGCTGCCTTCTCGTTCCTCCACACCAGGCTGCTTGGCAAGGCCAGGGCCTGCCATCCCGAGCAACGTGGTACCCTCCCCACCCTCCAGCTGCCCCTGCCCGAAGGCTTCCTTCCCTGGCATGAGGCTGTACCTTGCAAAGATGCCCGTGCCTGATGCCTCTCGATCCTCCTGCAGTGACCCAGTCCCCTTGCTGGGATTCCAAGCAGCACTGGGACTCTGCAGAGGACCCGCTGAGCTGTGTGGGAGCTGCGTGACAGTGGGCCATGCGGTCCCCACCCTCAGTCCTGCCTGAGACTCACTGCCACTGTTTTAGGTCAGATTCTCACCAGGCAGCTGTTTCAGCCTGGGCCTGAGCTCTGCCCCGGGCACAGGGACAAAGATGGCAGGGTTGCTGCCCGGTGTGGAGCCCAGAGCAGCGCCACAAAGACTCGCCAGCTGCCCACCCCTGCACCCCACATCTGGATTCCCCAGCAGCGACACCACAATATCCCAGCATGGTGGGCAGCAATAGTCAAGATCAGCAATAGTCAGTGCAATAGTCAAGATCTTCCCAGCAGCTACTAGGTGTGGGGCAGTCAGGGGAAAATGATGTAATCTGTGAGTCCCAGTGTCCTCGTCTGTAAGCCAGGGACAGCCCATAGCAGCTATCCAGTAAGTGCTACTTGCTGTTGTCTCTTTCAGACCATCCTGCTCTTAGCATCTTTCTGCACACACCATTATTCTAAGTCCGACGCAGCAAGCTTGCCTTCTATGATACTTTGAAAACCCCATCTTTTTCCAGGGTCACACCCTTGGGATGCAAGGACACGCCCAATTTAGCATGGGTGGTCCCACAGCTACTGGGCGTGAATGCTACCCCAAGAACCTGGGCATCAGCCCTGGCCAGGGCCTTCATGGACTCCTGAAGCTACAGCTGCCATAAGGGCCTGCCCTGGCCACTGTGGGACCACACACAGTGCGCTGACTTACTGAGGTAGAAAGCTGATTGCGAAGTACAGATTCCCCAGTGCACTCTCTCCCACTGTACTGACAGCCCTTTGGCTGGAGAAGTCTTTAAATCTCTTAGCAGCTAGGGAATGGATCTCAAGTGGCCTCTTTCTGGATTTCAACCAGAAGGTTCTGCTCTTTGTTTAGATTCCCAGGGCTCAGTGCAGCCTCTTCAGCCGAGCCCCGACAATGGCTGGGCTGGCGCAGCACTGAGGGGGTGTTCCTACACAGAACTTTCCAGGGCCAGCTCAGGTGTCTGCATCTCAGCTTATGGGAGGGGCCGGTAGTCTTTAAACCCCAAAACACACATGGTACTCGGGAACCTTGCTCCAGACTCTGCACTGGCAGGAACTGGGTCCATCCACATACTGAGCTCAGTTTCAGAATTCCAGGAGGATCTGGGGCAGAAGAGCCCTCCCAGCACCAGGGACTTGCCACTTGATATCAAGGAGTTTAAGACTACAGAGTTTCCTCCAGAGGTTGGAGATACCTATAGAGTCTCACTTGTGAGCTATTCAGGTTCTGGGCAGGAGGCTCCCTGTCCTCTTCCAATTTGCTGGAATTAAAGGAAGCCCAAAGCTCAAGTCCCCTCCTGTGCTCTTGGTTCTTGCAGAGTGGGGGCAGCATGGGCGGGGCTGGGCTGAAAGTCCTGGTGCATCTGTTGATTGCACTTTCCCGGGTTTGTCTGTGGGTCTGAGCCACCTGGAGTAAACCAAGTGGAGTTGTTTTGCATCATCAGCCTCTGGTCACCAGTTGCCCTGTACCAGCCCTGCTGGTAGAGTCCCAGACACTGCCTGCTGGCTGCACGGTAGACTAGCCCCTGCACCCCAGCCTGGCTGGCTCACCCGAGGGTGTCATCACTAGGAGCGCTTGGTTATGTCTGGCAAAACCCAGATTCTTCATCAAAGGCCAACAAGCACAGCCACAAAACCCAAAGGATGATGTGCGTCTCCGCTCGAGGGAAATACTAAGAAGACAGGGGTTGAGGATGTACACGTATCCTGTAGGGGGACTGCAGAGGCAAGCTGAGCACATCCGCTTGTCCTTAATGCCTTGTTGCTCTGAATCCCGGAGGTCAGTGCAGGGGAACTGCAGGACAGAATAACCCTCACTTCCGGGATCAGAAGCCCTGCGTACCAGCTGGCTTGAAGGATCTGGGGCTGACTTGGTGCTCCCACATCCTTCCCTGGTGCATGCGCACCCTGCTTGGGCCTGCTGGGTGGCAGGAGGGATGGGTTTGACTGGACAGTGCTGATGCCCCAGGGCTGCTGATCTTCTGTAGAACTTGAGGGGAGACATGGCTTGTTTTGATGGCTGGAGGGGCCGGGTTAAGGTGGACAGCAGTGGGACACAGAGGTCAGAGCGTGTGGCCTCTGGTTCCAGGATGACTCCTACTAGTTTTGTGGCTCCCAGCAAGTGACATTCCATAGAAACTCACCTATCAAATAGGTTCAAATATCTCGACAGGGAGGGTCCACACACACGGCTCAGCACAGGACCTGGCCAAATAAGTGCTTGGAAAGCACAGGCTGCGGTATTCGTGGGAGTATAATTGGGAGGGGCTTAATTCTTCCAGCTTCTGGCAGGGCAACACGGGGACCTGAGAATGAAGGAAAACCTTCCAAACCTGCCCCTGTCTGTCCTGGCTTAGCCTGACGGAGGCCCACTGAAGCTCAGAGAGGGGAGCAAGCCCGGGATATCTGCACAAGGGCATTTGGGTCCATGGCTCTAGAAGAGCAATAGAGGATTTGAGGCAGCTTCTGCTCTGGCTGGATCTACAGACCACGGCAGCTCCCCTGCTCTACACTGCCTGTGGGGAGCACTCCGCCCTGCAGGGGGCTGGTGGGGCCTCAGCAGCTTAGCCTGCCTGTGTGCCTCACTCGTCACCCTTGCTCTTGGTTTATCACCCGAGGAGGCTTTGTATGAAGTTTGACATGACAACGAGTCAACAGACCCAGCCTTGCCCAGCTGCTTGTGAGAGAGATGGGGTAGCTCAGCGTTAGAGATTTCTTTAAGGTGCAGAATACAGGAACGGGGAGGCTTGCTCTGAGCAGCATTTTGGGGGATGCTTTGAGGAGAACATGCATGGAGCCATTTACTAACCATTCACCTGCAGGACGTGGGTCTGGAACAGCTGCTCGTGGCCCGCAGCGTGGCAGGTGTAATTGCCCATGTGGACGGTGGTCACCTTGGTGATGTACAGGGAGTCCTCTTCGCCGAAGTCCTGCATGGGCACAGATGACAGTGAGGTTGGCTGGGAGGGACAGGGGCCTATCTTGCTTTTCCAGGAAAACAGAAATCTTATGGTTATGAGAAAGCTGCTTCCTGCCCACTCCTTTTCCCAGCCAGAGTGGCCTGCAGGGTCACCTCTCCTCCACACTGGGGGGCCCAGGCCCTATAGTCCATTTATGGTCTTGATTATCCGGCACCCTCTCCCCCAGTACCCTCCCTCCAGCTTTAACCAAAGCAGCTCTTGCGCCCCTTCTGCTCATCGTGCTGTCTGCATCTCATGGGGATCTGCCCTCTTGGTAGGGAGCTCGGATTCTGGAGAGAGGGTCCCGTGTAGAGCTGGGGTCAGCAAGCTTTAGTAAAGATCTACATAGTAAATATTTTCAGCTTGTGACTCTGATGAGTTCTATTGCTCAGCTCTGCCACGATAGCATTAAAACAGCCATAATAACAAGTGAATTGGTGAGTGTGGCTGTGTTCACGACGTTCTATTTAAAGGTATTAGCTGGAAACCATGGCTGGAGTCTGCTTATCCACGGTTTCATCCCACCTGGATCCCAAATTCTTCCAGGCAGCTTGCAGGGATCCGAGTAGCCTGAGGGAAGGAATATGCAGCAAAACAAAAATCAAGGCAGGGCTAGAAAAGGGAGCCAGAAGGTGAATGTCCAGGGGTGTCTGCAGCCTTTCAGGTGGATCTCTGGGTCAGTGCCCAGGGAGGGACAGACAGGAGCGGCCGGCTGTGTAGGAGTCCCCTGGGCAGCACAAGAACCGCGCCAGCTGTGTTCTCTCTTGTAGAACTGCACCCAAGGCTGGCCTCTTCTAGTGCCATCAGCAGGTGTCAGGATCGGAACTGCCTGGAACTCCATGGAGACCCCTGACCAGGTTTGGGGTTAGCCTCCAAACAGCTCTGAGGAAGTGGCCCTTGCAGTTGTGGGGCGGGGGCTCAAGTGTGAGAAACAGGCTGTGTGCGGTTGTCTGCGAGGAGGGAGGGATGGGGGAGCCTAGGGGCTGGGGCTCACAGGTCCATAGTTTGGCTTGAGAGCTGCTCTTGGCCAAACACCCCCAGACCCTCTGGGCACGGTTTTTCCACCTGTCCACTGGGATAGTACGTGTGTTCCGTCTGCCAGACAGGATGTTGGGGGACCTGCAAGAGTTCTGGTGAGCATACTTTCTCATGACGTATAGGGGTGTGTTCTTTTTCCTGTTATTATTAAAAGAAAATACAAAACCCCTGTTGAGCTCTGCAGCAAACCCTAAGCACCCCCTACCCCACCTTTCTGGGCTTCCACTTTCACAGAAGCCTTGCCTTCCCCACAGGGCAGCCCCGAGGCTCCCTCGGTAGCTCCTGCCCCTTGAAATGATGACGCTGATACCCCAGGGGGCCCAGCCACGACCACTGTGGGTCTGTTAAAAATGCTTTCTGGATAATTAGCTCAAATGGGGTGGGGTGGGGTGGGGGGAGGCACGGGGCTGGGCAGAGGCAGGAGGGTCATAGGGGCACACGCCGCTGGCTGTCAGTATCAGGAACCAACACCTGCAGTGCTCCCCGGGGAGCACTATGCAGGAGGGGGCCGCCGGAACCCCGCAGGTGACTGAAACATCGCTCTGCCTAAAAGAGCCTCATTCCTACCATTCCCTGGAAACCTTGATAATAGAAATAAAACAGCAGATAGCTGATTTGTCCTGTGTCATAACAAAGCCATAAAGGGTTCATACCTGAGCTGCTTATGGAAAGTTAATGGCTAGTCAGTGCTGGGATGACATATTTCTAGTCTAAGCGGTTTTCTGTGTCAAAATCTGAGTCTGGAGGAAAATATGTTTCTCGGGAGTCTGGGCGGGCAGGCACCCTGAGAGGCCTGGGAGCGGGTGCAGCCCCCCCTTTGGGTCACTGAGGGGCTTGCAAACTAACTAGTGCCGGCGTGTTCGGGCCCAGGACAGATGCTGTCCCCAAAGGCGGCTTCAGGGAGGGAGCCTGGAGCTGGGCTGCTGTTACTGTCCCCCCGCGCTGCCCTCCTGAGCCATCTTCATGCCCCTGGCCCCTCTTCCGGAAGCCAGCTTCAGTGCCTGGACCCTTGTCCTTGTTACCATCTCCAGGAAGCTGCTGGTCACGTGGACTGCGGCTTTTCTCAGGCTAGAAGTGGCCCGGCCCAGGCGCTGCCCTGAAGCTCCTTGGGACCATCGAGAGTGACCACCCGAGAGTGACCACCTGACAGTCCCATTAGCACCCGCACACAGAGGTTAACCGAGGGGTTACTATGAGCCAGACCTGACGTAAAATCAGCCCTCCATAGCTGCGTCTGCGGTTGTAACCAGCCATGGACTGAAAATATTCAGGAAAAAGAAAACGTCTGAGCTAGGTGTGGTGGCACCTGGCTTGGGTGTGTTGGAGCTCACTCACAGTCCCAGCACTCTGGGAGGCTGAGGCAGGGGGTTGGCAAGTCTGAGCCCAGCCCTGGGCAGCTTAGTGAGATCCGGCCTCAAGGTAAAAAAGGCTGGGGATATAGCTCAGTGTGAAGGCCCTGGGTGCAATGCTTAGTACCAAAAAAAAGGTGTCTGCACAGACTTTTTTCTTGCCAGTATTCCCTGAGGAGTGCAGTGTAACAACTATTTACAGAGCATTTACATTGTGTCAGGTAGCGACAGGCATCTAGAGATGATTTGAAATACACGGGAGGCTGCATGTAGGTTATATGCAAACGCTACACCACTTTACGCAGAAGATCTGAGCATCTGTGGATTTTGGCATCCCCTGGGGTCCTAACCCATCCCTTGAGGATAGCAAGGCGTGACTGGGCGTCACCCTGTTTAATCCCCAAGGCAGCCCAAAAGCCCCAGTCTCCTTAGGGTGCGTCAGTAGGGCTCTCTCTGAGAATATACTCCAGTTCCATTTTTCTGAACCAGGTCCCCTGTGATCTCCTGGGGCGCAGCCACTGTCTTCCCCTCCTGGGGGGCCCAGAGACCCCCACCTCTGCCCTCAGCAGTCTCCTCTCCAAAAGGCCCCATATGGTCCTTTCCACGCAGATGGCTTTTTGGGTGCCTGCTTGTGCAGACCGCCCCAGGCCCCAAGCCACGGAGGGGCTGCATGGGGATCTGGCCCAGCCCCTCAGCCCTCCCCACCACTCGCCCCCACTGTCGCTGCTCCCTGCCAGCATGTGCCCCAGTCCCGGAGCTTCCTACCCACCGCCCCTCCCTTCCCCAGCCTGCCGTCGGTCCTGCTTGCCCCCTTCCTTCAAGGGGGCTCAAGTCCTGTCCAGACTGCGGATGACATCAGCCTCTCCCTCTGCCTCCCTCTGCCTCTCCCGCCTGCTGCCTGGGTCCTCGGCAGAGGTGTGCCTCTCGGTGAGCGTGTGTGTGTGTGTGTGTGTGTGTGTGTGTGTGTGTGTGTGTATGTGTGTGTGTGTGTGTGTGTGTCTCGGGGGTGTGTCGCCCGTGGGGACAGCAAGGGCTGCTGGGTGCATGATGGCTCTTCTGTAAGCACAGAATGTGTTACCAGCCTGTGGCGTAGGCTCTGGGGAGAACCTGACTCTAATAAATAAAATAATGTGTCTCGGCTAAAACAATAGGCACCATATAATTATGGAACAAAGTGCATATTGTTTTCTGGATATGAATATTGGCTACAGAAATCAAATTTACCTCATTGGAGGTGAGAGAATGACTTTAAAAATTGATTTATAAGAGGCTACATAAAACTGAATCTGCAGTTCTTCCTCTCCTGAATGTTCTTTGAGATGTGTCTGAATACTGCTATCAATGCCTGATTGCGTCTCTGTAATTGTCTTTTTATGGATAGCTTTTTCCCTCTGATGCATAGAAATGTGCTAGGAAAATCAAGGTTCCTTCCAGAAATAAACATGCCAGATTAGCCCATCCTTTGTACTGATGCACAACCATATTTGGGAAAGAGACAATTGTACTTAAAGATGTGGCTTCTGGCTTTTAACATGCTATTTTCTAGGTATCTGCTCTTATTAAAGAAAGTTATTAAATGAGACATAAGTATTAAACAATAGACAGCTGAGATGACATGGGGCTGCTGTCATGGTGACACACGAGAGGTGTAAATAATATGAAAATGAGTCATCAATGCCCTGTATTTCGTGACTCATTGTTAAACACAAGGACTCCAGAGTGACGTTAGAGTTCAGGTTAGCAATATTTTCAGTGTTACGAGTTAAAACTCCGAAACATTTATTCATGTCTTTCCCAACTTTGCTCTTCCCAGGAGCGCTCTCAGCTCTCTCTGAGGAGGAAGGAGTACAGGTGGAGACTCTCCTATCCCCTAGAACACACTGTTTGTTTGTGTCAAGATGTCCCCGAAAGCCTCATGCAGTCATGGAGCAGGCTTGCAGAGTTTATGATTGATTCATGGATGTGAGTGCTACACTGCCCTGGGGCAGGCAGCCTGCACACAATATAAGGGAGGGAAAGAGGCTTGCCTCTGCTGCTCCTCCCTTTTTGCTTTTGCTGCTTTTGCTGTTTTCTGCTGCCATGAATGGTTGCCCTCAGCCATGTGCCACCCTGCCTTGGAGCCAGCTGAGTATGGACTGAAACCTCCACAGACTGTGAGCTAAACCTTTCCTTCCTTAATTCTGGGCGTCAGGTATTTGGTCTCAGCAATGAGAGAAAAATAACCAAGACAATCGCTCACCCCAGCATCTCATCTGCACAAACAGCTGAATACCGGGGCCCCTACACTGAGTGGCATGGGGTGCGCTGGGCACAGAGACATCTACTTTAACATGAGCACACATGCCCACTGTGCAAACCAAGCTGCAGTCACACACACACCTGACGAGCACACACACACATGCAGGGAACGTGAGCATGAGCATGTGGAGCAGACACACACACACCAAACCCTGGCTCTCTCCAACTGACCACCTGACCCACAATGGCCTTCCTGTGCTGTCCACTTCTGCCCAGCCCCTGGGAGGACAGACTTTCCACTACACAAGGCCATGTGGGGTCAGTCCTCTTCGGATGGGCCTGTCC